GATGTATCAAGGTGTCACTAATTTGAACTGTAATAAAGAAGCTGGAACCTATTAATGTGTTGTATTGTAAATGCATTAAATGTTATATATGCAATATTGGTTGTAATACTTATTTGAACACTAGGTGGCACAACCGACCTTTGTCACTACAATGCCTAAGCCAAAGTTATGTTCACTGCACCTTTAACAGTATTATGGGAGTTCTTCAGCCATATGGCAGAAGCCCAGGGGGTGGGAGGTTTTATGACGGGACAACCAGGAATGCAGCTCTCTTGTTTGTCAGACTGGTCCAGTGATGTAAACTAGCTTTCTAATTCTACGCAAGCAGAAGTAACACAACTGCCTTTGACTTGTTGATGCTGCACATAATGTATTCCTTATTTACCAATGGATAACCAGCTGTGTTCGTACCGCCTGGTAATTAGATAAGCATACCACACTGAGAGGCCATGTGCGTTTATTTTTAGATGCAAAAACATAAAGGATCCTAAACCCTAAATAAGTCTCCAGTGAGAATGCTACAGAATGGCATCTGCAACCATAATAACTATGATTTCAAAGGTGGAAGATGAATTCAGATCCTTTACATAAGTACCACAAGAAAATAGAAATTACTGTAAGTAAAAGTCCTGCATTCCAAGGTATTATCAGCAAAATTACTGGTGCACTGATGTATATGTGGCATTTTACTGCTACAGTTCTTTAAGATTGCATAATGTAGCTGTGGTGTTCTCACATTACCACAAGCGGTTTTTGAATTGCTGACTGCACTAATTGGGGTTTAAACACACAGGGAAGGTAGTAGACGCCACACAAGCAAATAATAAAAAAAGGCCTTTATTGTTTAAACCTACTGACAAATACAATGATCGAACCAGACATCCACATGGTGAAAGATCTCAAAAAGGAATGTTAATGTCTTAACATCTTTACAACCTTGCACCAAAAAGGCATGAAGTAGAAACCGACGCACAAGAGCTGTGTTTGAAGCAACATTTTTTAGCACTCTCATGCCATAAGACTGCAGAAATGAGGAGAATACTGCAAAAACTAGTACAAAATAAAGCTGATAAAGAAAACAGTTGGGGGCTCAAACTCGAACTGGCTTGGGGCCACTGCTCGTGTTGTCATCTCATAGGAGAGCCACTTCAATGTTCAAGTACTACAGAAAAGCACAATATTCTGAAAATATTTCCATTACTGAACATCGTACCTAAAAAATTAAAACAGAAGTTTCTATACATTCTTATATCATTTCAAATAATCTCTACTGTTTGCAGCCAAACAACAAATAAAGCCCAAAACCTGCTCTCTGCTTACCAACCTTTTGACCTCTGCTGTTATTTGTGCACCAGACAAAATACATTTTTTCAAATAGAAAAATAGAAATAAAAAATAAAACCGTTTTTATTTGAATCGTATTAATTGATATGAAACTAAAAAACAAAAAACAATTATGGCCGGATTTTGTTATATTTTTAACATCATGGATGGAGGGCTTGAAATGGCCTCCGGGCCGGCAGTTTGGGATACCCTGGAAAACAGACTGGAACCAACTGAAGAGATCATAAATGCTCATACATTTCCTATTTTAAAATGGAGTAGCATATTCCCCAGACATTTGGTAGAGCCTTCAACGATTAAACATGATATGGATGGAAGAGATAAACATTCAATAGTGCCCCTGTACTGTTGATTGTACATACAGATACAGCATCTGTTGCATAATGTCTGTTGGATTTTAAAATAGAGTGTATAACTATTGGGGTTTCTTGACGTTTCCCCAAAGGCCCTCTGCCAAACTGCAAAAGAAAAATCACCAAATGGAAGCACACTGTACACACAGTATAGGACTCTCACCCCAAATAAGACCAAAACTTTTTTTTTTTTTTTTAAACAACAAAAAAAGCAATCAGCAACCAGTTATTACAAGAAGACACTGGCAAGAAAGACAAAACATTTGTAGTTACTAACATTTCAAAAACATTGGCTAAAACTTTCTTTGGATTTTGATTAGGGAAATAAATATGTATGATCACAAATAATTATCCGAGGCATCAACGATGACATACAAGCCCATATAAAGTAGTACTTTAATTTTATGGCCCAGCCAAACACAAAATAGGTTTTGCTTATTTTCACTGAAGTCCTTTAGGTGTTCAGGCTATAACAGTCAAAACAAACCAGCATTCCACTGCTGCTATTCTGACCATGTAGAGACATCCTTGTAGTGAAAAGACCTTTTACTTACATAGCACATGTACTCACACCACACAGACTGTGCTTCTCGTCACATACTGTGCCATAAAACCCATTTGCACCTTGCTGAGATCTTAGGACCTACAGAGCAGCATCTCTCCTTGAAAAGGAGTGTCAGGAGTTCAAACAGTCTGCTTCCCGTTTGCCGGATCAGTGTGATTTTTGGTCTCGGAATATTAAGGAGCAGTTGAAGGAGTCTTCAAGCTACAGTTAGACCTGAGGTTACATTGCCTGCCACTGAACTGAGGTCCATCTGGAGATGGGAGGTCAAGCTGTGTCCATGCATAGTCAAAACAGTCTTTGAGGACTAGTTCATTCAGCTTTGGGACGTTGTTGAGGATATCATTTTCATTTGGTGTGCTAAGGAACATAAATATAGCCTATTCTCTCAAGAGAAAGGAATTGTATGCAAGAGAATCCTTGGCATGAGTACCCACAGACAACAGATTAATAAAAAAACCCTTGATAAAAAAATAAAAAAAAAATCTATAAAAAGAATAAATGCATACTGTTTGTGTGTTTTGTCATATCACAGCTGTTTTCATGCAGAACATACAGAACATAGTTAACACATGTCAAATCATATACAAGATCTATATTTAAATACATTATATAAAATCTGCATGAAAGTGGCCATGATCATATATAACAAAATACACAAATGTATGTATATATTCAAAGCATATAATGATACATTTCACAACATATGTCGTCCTATTTCTGTACAGAGATTCAGTTCTGACAAAGTTGAATGCAAAAGACAACAAAAAAAAAAAACAAAAAAAAAGGTGACAGTAACAAAACCATTTTGAAGGTAACGGATTCCAAATGGAGAATATATAAAAAAAAAAAATTAAAAAATAAAGGTTTTCTTGCTAATGGAGACTGGGTGCTGCAAACTGTATGGTGGTCCTCGTCAACTTAATAACTCGCAAATTTTCATACTCGTGTTCACTTATGCAGGTTCTGTGAAACCTTTGAGTGTAAAAATTGGTAAAAGTGGGCCGATACAGAAATACAGCTTACTTCTATTTCTCCATCATAAATAAATGTAAAATTTCTTCTATTTGTAAAATTAGATCTGACATTACTCATACCCTATGTACACTGGTCAAGCCTATTGATGTCCCAGTGGATGTATATATTGATCACCTGATAAACTGATGAACATCTGGTTTACACACATTGGCCACATGATACAATTGACTTTTAAAAGTGATGAGGACCAACCAAATGTAGCCAACATTTGTTTCAAGTCAATACTGTAACTCAAAAAAGGAAACAAAAGTCACTGTGCATAATAAGGATTTTAAATTTCCCCCTCAATTTTTTGTGTGGAGGACAGAACGCTTTTCTTTGCATTGTAGATTAGCGTGCATGTGCGTCATCCTTTCTTCACGACAGAAGAAAAAAGGAAAAGGGGGCTCGAACCTCAGGTTTCAGTTTGCAGGAGTGTCAAATAAGTGAGAGGGTCACTGTTGATGTCAGCAGCTGGATTACATGACAGACTCTGATAAAACAGCCATAGCGCCTTCTGCATCGTCCTTCCTACCTCGCTTCTCAATGAGCGGCGAGTACTCGGGGGGAGGGACTGTTGAGTCTCCCCCCGGCCTGACTTCGCTCAGCTCTGCTACCTCCTCTTGTTTGGACGTGCGGTCCACGAAGAACTGCAAGAGTCCGGCTCCAAAGGCGTCGCCCTCTACGTTCAGCACTGTGCAGGTACGGTCACTGCAGAAAGACGGAATGGATGGCAAGCAATTTAACAGACCGCCTCACATAGAAATGTAGGTGTTACGTGTGGACAGAAACTGTCTCAGGGAATATAGTAAGTTTAAATTTGATTAGTTGGTTGTCATGCTCCATGTTCACATAAAACAGAATGGTTTTGTACTCACACAAGCCAGTCAACAGCCAGGATGAGAGAGATGTCATTGGTTGGCAGTCCTACTGCCTCTAGGATAATGGCTAGGGTCAGCACACCACCAGCAGGTATACCTGCTGCTCCAACACTGGACGCTGTAGCTGTCACACTAACACACATTAGGAGGGAAGATGACAGTTAGAGCAGATAAAATGTTTCACATCATTGTATACCGACTATACTTTTATTGAGCTACACGATATGTGCAGCACAGTACAATCGGACGTCATATTTAATCCAGTTGTGTTTGAGTGACTTTAGGACTCACAGGATGGTAATGACTTGGATGAAGTTGAGGGAATAATTGTTCAGCTGAGCGATGAAAACAGCAGCCACGCACTGGAAGAGAGCGGCTCCATCCATGTTGACCGTCGCTCCGATGGGGAGGATGAAGCGACTGATGTGCTTGGATACACCGTTGTTTTCCTCCACACACTTCATCATCAGGGGCAGAGTGGCAGAGCTAAAAAAAAAAAGGAATAGGAATAGAGGGATGTGTGAGGGTATGGAGGCAAAAGGAGCGTGTTTATTTGTAGAGTGTGCGTGTGTTTTAGAACAGACGAACCTCAGTAGTTGATATTTATCAACCAGAGAGAACAAACAAGTGTGTATGTGTGGAGGAGTCAGAGAAGTAAGCAGCGGTAAGTTAATTACCTGGAGCTTGTTCCGAAGGCCGTTGCCAGGGCTGTGAATATCCCCCAGAGGAAGGTGTATGGGTTTTTCCTTGTAATGATGAAGTAGATGGCCGGCAGCACAAGAAGGCCATGGATGGCATGTCCGATGATACAGCAGGCTATATATTTTCCCAGACTGGCAAACAGCGTGCCAACATCCTCCATCTCAACGATCTTGCCAGCTACAAGGAACATGATACCAAGAGGGGCATACCTGTAGAGAGACAGGAAGGGCAGGAAAGGGAAAGAAAGGGAAGAGACCGTTCAGTGCTGTAGATTATTATGATTCTGCAACATGGCCCAAAGAAAAGACTTTTATTCAATCATCAGAAACATGCATATCTCTCTCACCACATGATCCAGGAGACCAGCACCATGGTGGCCTCGTTGAAGGAGTTGAAGAACTTGATGAGGATCTCCCCTTCCTCTCCCAGCTTCCTCAAAGCCACACCAAACACAATGGCGAACACTACCAGACCAAGAATATTCATGCCGTCCTGGTCTATTCCAAAGGGCACCTTTGGGAGACACACAGACACGCATGAAAAACACAGCTCCACAACTAGTCGTCATCATAGAGACAAGACGGCGCCTGTATTCACTTTGCTTACCTTTTCCACTGTGATATTAGGGTTTCCATCTGTGCCATTCCTGGTGACCAGCTTGTAGCTGGTTGCATACTGGATGGAAAAAAAAAAAAGTGTTGCAGTTAGTTTAGTACACAGAGTCATGTTATCTAAATATTTCCTTTATACAATTATGTAAAAGTATAGAACTGAGATGCAGTACTTACTGACTGAAAGGCAGCAGACACCAGGTTGGAGGGAAAGATGTTTCTGTGGGGAGAAAAACAACAAAAATTCAACAACACTTTCAATGCCTGTGGTCAGCGTGTACCTGCAGATGCCTTGGGAAAACGAAAAAGATGTGGCTGTAATTGGGATAGAAATTACATGTTTGAGCAGAACACAATATAAGTGCTTGAGTCTTGTTTGGTTCTCTCTCTCTATCTGCGCACACGCACACACACACACACACACACAAAAACAACCCTGACCACTTATATGAATGGACACTAGGAGCAAGGCCACATCTGCTACAAGGCAAACACATTGTAACGCCATAAACTTTTCTTTTTTGGTTATGCACCACATAGAAGAGTTCTGGGTCACAGTCACTAATTTATATCCTGACTTTTAAAAACTTTTCTATTTCACAAACGTGCATCTACAATGGTGTTGCAGAGACAGCAGCTAAATCTGGATGTCAGCAATAGTTCAAACAGATGCAGTCACAAGGTTGATCATGTGGAAATAGCTGAAAGAATTGTACTATTAATCTCCTTTCCCCCCCCCACTCTGCCCCATTTTCTAATTTCTGTTGTGTTATTCATTCAAACAAGTACACACACACGTTGGTACATAGGTCCAACTGGATTTTAAATCCCTCGAGAACTCATGAAACCCATGTGTTCCCGATACCCCTTTACTCAGCTGTCTTTAATGGATTTAGAGTAATAAGGCATTAACTTCACAACCTATTCCCCAACCATTCATTCCCTTTCATTGGACCCATAGTGCATCAGGATTAAACATCATGTGACAGTGTGACAGGGCAGCGTGCAACATGCAACTAGATCACAGGCTGAGTTCTGATTGTGCTGCAAAGACCCATGACAAAAGGCTGCCGGCCTATTAAGCAAATGTTAGACTTTATTTGAATATTAAAGTTTTATAAATTGTATTTTTCAAATTCTTCCAGTTGACTGAAACAACAAAAAAAATGTGTCAATATGGTATCATTCTGGGACCCAGAGTCATTAGACCTAATGATTTTTAGACCAGCTTCACAGTATCTCTAAGACCTGGATGTTTGGAAAGGACAGAACAATGTCGCTTTGCACTTTGCATTCTCATTCACTAACTTTGCATAGAGTTGATAACACAGCACTAAAACCTGAGGGGATCCACCTCCTTGTTCTCTGTTGTGGATATCCCTGGGAGAGGTAGTCGAGAAGAGAGTTTCATATGCTGTAAAGACTAAAACCCTCCAAGACAAAAGTCATTTTTGGCTATGCAAATAAACTTGACAACTGCCATACCAAGGACAAGGAATACATGGTATGACAACAATCCACACATGGTACTGTCACACACATTTAGGTGGGTGTGTTTCTTTAATGGCGGCTGCTGATTGTTTGAGGCAAACTGCTCTGACGTCTTACCAGGATCTTGTTACACACCTGCCAGATCATGCAACGCACAGGGAAAACCTGGTCTGTCCAGGTCTACGTGGAATAATAAACGTTTACCATCTCACAACAATTATTCTAAGGGCTTAAAGGGGCAGATGAATGGATGAGTAACAGCCTTTAAGCTTGCTCTCATTCGGTTTACGTCAAGCCAGCAATGTAAGCGTCTGAAATGCAAGTAGCCTATGTAAAAGAGAAAACTCCACCATAGATACTCTCATACTTATAAATCTAAAATTGTCTTTATCAAACAAGAGTTTCCAAGGGGTTTACACACAACCTAATGTTTTACAGGTGGTGTTTTTAAAAAGCTGAAAGAGCCTGTGTTGAGCAAAGATCTACAGGATGACAAAAATGCTAAAAAGGATTTAAAAAAAAAAAAAAAAGGGGGACAAAATACAGTCTACAAAGCTCCCAATACCACAATTACTTCAGATCAAAGCAGGCAATATGCAAACCTCTTCTGTGAGTTACTTTGTGCCACACAAGCCGTCTCTGCTCTCCGGCATCTCAAGGCAAGTGGTGCATCTGGACAATAAATCCACAGGTGACGCTAGCGCTGACTGATAGCGGCCACCAGAGAACGCCAACCATATGGTTTTTAAGTGAGAAAACAAACAAAGGAAGGAGATAAGGAAGACCAACAAGGATGTGTAGGAGTGGCTCCAGTTAAACATAACAGTATCCCAAAGGAAGATATGTAATATGTCACTAAGAGTGAGTGTGTGTGTGTGTG